AATCAATGTGTGTGAGTGTTGATTAAGTGGTGTGTATCTAAGAACATTCTGACATGACATCTAGTGACATGTCATGACATTAAACATAAGAAAATATTATGATTACAATTACGGTTAAACATATCATAATAATAACAATAATCATCCTGCCTGCTAACAATCAAACTTTTTCTATCTAGTTATCCTTGACCATATGCACCCTGCTAAAAACCCATGAGAATGACTAAGCATTTTACAGCCTACCTAGACATCCTGTCTCCACTAAACATTTTTAATACAACAAGTATCTAACCAATTTCTATCTGACTAAAAAATACCTAACAGGCTGCTCACCATAAGGAAGCCAGAGACGGCTGAGGGCAAGCAGCCGAACCCGAGAATAAACAATGGAGCCACGACACAAGGGGTCCCCCAAGGCAGACTCAAAAAGATCGCAAAAAAGTATAAAACATAATGCAAAACACAATAAAACTAGTACTCCAAGTAGCCCAACTCCACAAAGGCTTACAGAAAATAAATATAACACAAAAGCAAACACAGAAAACTTCCTCAAACATGGAAAAAAAACACAAATGAGGTCAGAGCTGCTGGAACTTGCTGCCAGTTGTGCAACGCCATCTTGAAAAGAAAAAAAAAAGCCATTTTACCACAACTTTGGAAGTCTGCTTGGGGTCACTGTCCTATTGGAAGACACATTTTCAACTAAGCCCAAGCTTCCTGACTGATGTCTTAGGATGCTTCCTCAGTATATCGACATAATATTCCTTCCTCATGATGCCATCTATTTTGTAATGTGCCCCAGTTCCTCCTGTAGCAAAGCCCCCACACGACATGATGCTGCCACCCCCATGCTTCACGGTTGGGATGGTATTCTTCAGCTTGCGAGCCTCCTCCTTCTTCCTCCAGACATAATGATGGTCATTGTGGCCAAGCAGTTAAATTTTTGACTCATTAGACCAGAGGACATTTCTCCAAAAAGATCTTTGTCCCCATGTACAGCTATAAACCATAGTCTGCCTTTTTAATGGTGGTCTTGGAGCAGTGGCTTCTTCTTTGCTGAGCAGCCTTTTAGGTTGTGTCGATATAGGACTCGTTTTACTGTGGATATAGATACTTTGGTAACTGTTTCCTCCTCTGTCGTCACAAGGTCCTTGGTGCTCTTCTGCGATTTATTTGTACTCTTCAGACCAAAGTAAATTTGTCTGTAGGAGACAGAACGCATCTCCTTCTTGGGCAGTATGATGGGTGCATTGTCCCGTGGTGTTTTTACTTGCGTAGTATTGTTTCTACAGATGAACGTGGTACTTTGAGGTGTTTGGAAATTGCTCCCAAGGTCCACAATTTTTTCGGAGGTCTTGGCTGATTTATTTTTATTTTTCCATGATGTCAGGCCTTAAATTCCATCCACAGCTGCACCTTCTATTGACTCTAATGATGTCAGTTAGCCAATCAGAAGCTTCTAAAACCATGACATCATTTTCTGGAATTTTCCAAGCTGTTTAAAGGCCCAGTCCATTGAGTGTATGTAAAGTTCTGACCCACTGGAACTGTGATATGGTGAATTATCAGTGAAACAATCTGTAAACAACTGTTGGAAAAATTACTTTTCTAATTACTTGTGTCATGCATAAAGTACATGTCCTAACTGACTTGCCAAAGCAAGAGTTTATTTTTAAGATGACACCTGTGGAGTGGTTACTGAATCCAACCTAAGTGTATGTAAACTTTAACTGTACACACACCGAAACAGCGGGCCATCGCGGTCAATGAAATAGTTTCCGTGTGTATCCTGGACGGTGGGGAGGTCTCCTCTGAACATGGCTCCCAGCATGGAGTCTGGGTAGCGCTGCAGCGTGGAAAGAGACGTACTATACACACAGCCGCCCACATTCAGAGTCACTGGCTCCCCCATCTGGACAGAGGAGAAACAACACTGGGAAAAAAAAACATTTGTGCTCTCGGACGTTAGAACAGCTGAACCCTGGAGTCTGAACTGACGCATAGTGCACTCATTCGTAAACACAGAAATTGGGAGCTCTTATGTTCTTTAATCACAGAACATGATAATGCTGAGTAAGCCTTTTTTTATATTGCTCCTCATACATGGTAAGGAGCTAAAATTGAATTCATTAGTTTCCTTGGTTAGATTTAAAGCTTTGTTGCATAGTCAATGCTTCAGCAAGCACTTGCCATTATCGGGATGCTTTAGGCCACATCTAAGATGCTCATTCACTGTTGTAACATTGTAGATAAGTCAGAAAACAAGCAAAAGTGCCATGGGCTCTTTAATGGTTAATTGATTATCGATTAATGCCATTAATAATTTAATCAACTAAAAATATATTAAGCAACAGTGCAGAATAAGATGATGTGCAATGTTGACTATCAGAAACTATGCAGTAGTTTTTTGTAGTACCTGGTTGAACCACAGGTGGTGCCTCCTACTGTTTATACACGTTTACTTACTGACCATATAGATTAGATTTTGCCTGGCCAATTGTTGAATAGCAACAGTCAGGAGTGGAAACACTGCACTTTTAAACAAAGTAATTATTTTGTGTTTAATTCATAACTCTGTCCTTTAAATTCCAATTTATTCAAACGTTATGGTGAACATAGATCATGTCAGTAATTAATACCGCTTTATTTCAGAAAAACATGTCACAAATTGTTATCAATAACCGATTACTGATTGTTAATGTGGCCAACTACTGAATATGAAACTGCCTGACACAGGGGCGCCCCATAGCCAATTGAGTCCAACTGCCAACATCTGTTGCAGGTCTCCCACACTCTCTCTCTGTCTCCCATTTCCTGTCCACCTATCTGTGATTTACTATAAAATAAAGGCTATAAGACTGAAAATATAACATTAAAAAAAGAAACTCCTTGGAATTTGCATCCCTACATTGGATTGCTGGTTATTTGACTGATGCACTGATCCAGATCAACGGACTGTTACACCCCCATATGTTGTGCTCTTCGCGTTCTCCCTGCATTTGCTGTTTGTATATTAACATTCCCACTATCAAGTCAAACAGACAAGAAAAATCTTTGGGAAAACGAAAAGACAAATGTTCAAAAGCACACATGCAGATGCAGCATGAAGGCATATGCCATCTTTCAAATGTCACAGCAGGACAGTTCAGACAGAGAAATGTCTGCATCAAAAACAAACAAACAAAAACATCTCTGCACACACATTCATCCACATATATTCACACACCCTATGACCCAGGTCTCCATTCTCCATCTGCAGACCTGAGATGGCTGTGTTGTTTCTTGTCAGGTCAGACTGTTCAGAAGATCATTTCTGTCTCCACAACACCTGCAACAAGAGGATGAACAGCTGTGATATGCTGAACAGTGAGATGCTTGTCAGTGGCGCCTGCAGACATAATCCTGTACGCACCATGCGTCCATTTTTTAAACGATTTTGCTCACATTTTATGCCATTGCGTCTAGTGATTATTGTGACCCAAGACGCTTTCTAATATGTCGTATCGCACACCCCTAGAGTGGATCATTTCTACTCTCTAATGTGAGCCCTGCAGCTTGAAGTGAGTGACAGCAGCCTCAAACTGATTTTACTTGCTGCCAATAAAGCCTATAACATCGTCAGGGCAGGCATGGTATTTTTTCATTTATTGCTCATGAACTGCAGTCATGTGTTATTTTGTGCATGGATTTAAGTGTCAGATAAGTGACTCTCAAGAACCAGCTGGAGGTCACCTCCAAAGAGCAACGATGGTCACTGTGTGGAAAGTTGGTATGGGAGGGTGTTGATAAGAGAGAGGCTTCTGAACTGAATGAGCAACAGAGGTGATGCTCAAAGATAAAGTGTGCACTGCTGTCACTCCAAGATGTGCAGAGCTCACATAATTATGAGAAAATACATTATTTTGTTATAATGACAAAATAGCCTACAGTATGTCGTTATAACATTATCACTACAAAATGTTTTAACATTAAAGCATCTCATAAAAACAAGCAAAGTATCTTGTTATAATGAGAAAAGTTTCCTGTTAAAACAAGATTTACACATACTACAAAATATAATCCTGCAGGTGCCACTGACCGTTGCCATGGAGATAAGCTGCCAAGTGATGCTGCAGCTTTGACTCAGACATCATCTGGCTGATTAGTCTTGCATTCCTGATGCTGTATGTCTAGACACTGCCAGCCAGTGAGAAACAGGAGGAGGAGCTGTGGACCTTGATTCTTATATCACCCAAAGCAAATTAATGAAAACGCCTGCAACAGATTAATAAAATTCACACAGCATTTTAACAAAATGTGATTAAATCAGAGTAGTAGAGAGAGTCCAGCCTCGGTCGAGGAGTAAAGTTCCAGAGCCCAAGCTGTGCGTGGAGGTGAGCCCGACTATATCTAGCCGGTACCTCTCAACCTCCTGCACAAGCTCGGGCTCCTTCCCCACCAGCGAGGTGACATTCCATGTCCCCAGGGCTAGTCTCCGTGTCCAGAGATCGGGTCGGCGGGGCCCCTGCCTTCGACTGCTGCCCAATCCACTGCGCACCAGCCCCTTACGGATCCTCCTGCAGGTGGTGGGCCCACAGGAGGACGTCCCCACGTCGCTTATTCGGGCTAAGCCCGGCC